TTCAGAATGTTATTAGGCTAAGTCTACACGAATGTATGCTTGTAATAGTTTAGGCCAAATGAAGAAATGTTTTGTAAAAATAGGTTAAAGTTATAATCTATAAAGCTTGTAAATGTTGAAGGAACGTACTTTCCGTGATTAAAACTTTAAAACGCAAATGACTTACTAATCATAAATTTCCTTAAGTTGAGTTACGAAGAAAAATTATGTCATAGATTGATTAATTCAAATGTACGAAAATTTAATGCAAAATAGTTAACACTATGTTTTTTTTATTAATTTCTATTTTGAGATGGTTATTTTGAGAAATCTGTTAAATTAATTTATTGTATGACCTAAATGATTTGGTCGAAATAAATATATGGTTGGATATTTTTAGCTTAGTCGAAGTTAATTCTGAACAGATATATTTATTTTACGTTCATGAAAGAAAAATATTGAATCTTCTATAAAACTTGTTGCGAGTATTTTTTAAATTATAAATCTGTGATCAAAATCAATATAAAAATTCATGTTTAAACTAAACGATAAAATCATTGAGTATCAAACAATCATCTATCTTATCAAAGTTACATATTTACATTTTTTATGATGACTAAGATAAAATTAAGACATGTGAGTAATCAGTTTTATAATAATAACAACAAATTCAATATTTACTGCTATAAACACACAATATTAAAAATCACTTCACATATAAATGAGATACACTGTAACAATCCCTACTAAGATTATAAATGCGAAAGTATCTCTGTCTGTCTGTCTGTTACGCTTTCACGCCTAAACCACTGAACTGATTGTAATAAAATTTGGTACAGATATAGATTTGATGTTGAGAAAGAACATAGGATAGTTTTTATCAAAGACTTTTGAAAGATTCTCTTGGAAACGCGATAGGTATAACCGAACTCCACGCGGGCGAAGCTGCGGGCGCAAAGCTAGTCATTAATATTTACACTTAAATCGTCTTGTACCAATAATAATAAGTATAAAATAAATTAATTATAGCGATATTTAAATTTTTATTTATCGCGAAATACTCAGTCAGAATTTACTTTACAGAGATCGATGATGCAAGGATGACGGATGTTTGTGAGTCAACGAAGGCCGCGTACAGGAAACACGTAGTCAGCTGATAAGTGTATCAGCACTTGTTAAATAAAAGACTATAAGCAGTTGATGTTATACGCGATTAAGCGATGTAAGAAAATGTACGTACAACAGTCAGCCGCTTCAATCGCTTGAAATTCATTGTTAGAACCCTAACAAATAAAATTTCGCAATAAAAACGGTACCATGAAACCTTTTAGATTTCCACTTTAATTGTCATCCACTTGGAAACGTTTAAATTAAAATCGATGGAACTCGTTCTTTTTGAATTTATTGCATAAATACGGTTCAGCCCGCGGCTTTATCTGCAAATGATATTTATGTTGGGAGATATGTAAAAATTTATAATTAAACAAAATTAAACGCCTTAGTATGTAAATTTCATAGGAAACAAACTCACAGTGGAATTAAATTTCTGTACTATTTTTTTGTTAAATCAGCACAGCATTGAGCCAGAACAAATATCGAAACCTATTTATCTAAAACGGTCATTTGAGTTGTTTGACATATGACATTTAATTAACTTGGTTGACCCCCACTGACGTAATAAATACGATATTACAAGAGTTCACTTACAACCATAGGTAATAATTTTGCAACAAAGAGAAATTATTCAACGATAGAAGTAAAAATTATGTACAAAGATTCTATTTAAATTCAAAACAGTCTGATAAAATAGTAATCAAATCCGAGAAATATGATGCAATCAGAAAAAGAAACGGTAAATCACGTACAATGAGAGAAAACGTTGTAACAATGCTATGAGCCTTGAAAAGTTTCACAGTTTAGACCCTAGGTGGGCAGTGGGACGGATTTAGGAAAGGAGAAGGGAAATTACGCTTCAATGGGACATTGTTATTTCAGATGGTAATTTCGATTGTACCGAAGATTACTCCATCAGACTTAAGGGTAATCATTTAAGTTAAAGTAGATTATTTAAGTTAAATATAATTTATATAATAAAATCCGATTTAGCTAATAAATTACTCTTTGGATCTATTCTTTTTATAAGAAAAATAAATGTTATAAGAATTTTAGATTGCGACGAGTTTTTGCGAATAAAATCGCGGAAACAACAATAATTTATACGATTTATACCGTATAAATTGGTCTATACTAAACAAGGCGACCCCAAATCTAAAAAACGTCTAGTCGCGCGATCCCTTAGTCCTTAATACCTTTCCAATTTCAAGAACTAGTCCACCACCTTTAAATATAAATTTCTACAAAAAGAAATCTTATAAGAATCTTGATTTATATTGGAGGCGTAAGAGTTAACAAGAATTTATTTTTTTTAATTTCAAAAATGTATTTACAGTACTTGATTTTATATTTTTTATAATCAGTTATTTTTAGTCTGTGGTATTAGTTTTCTAAGAAAATGTTTCTTCTTACAAAAGCATCAAAGTAATGCTCATTGAGACATGTAATAAGAATTTAAATATGGAACAATTACAAGACAGATATGTAGTAATAAAGGCAAAGATATTATTCTATAAGTTTTCCTTACTTATCTCTTTCCTTAGTTTGTATTAAATCAATTCATAACATGTTTTGAAATAAAATCTGCCTCATGTTATGTTATAATTATTAAAACCAAAATCATTATTTTAAATTTTATTATTAATTTTGAAATCATATTTTTCAACCATACCAAATAGAAATGTATTATTACAGAACAAAACTTACATCCATAGAAAATAAAGCTTATGCAATGGCAACATTACTTAAATTTTTAAAATAATCCTATGTCAAAAAGAGTATTTTTTCATTACAAAAACATATTCCATATAAATCATGATAAATAAAAGTTGCATTGACCAGACTAATTTTGAAATCCGTGTTCTCATAAGAAATATAAAAATATATCAATCATATTAAGAACAACTTTGAATGAAAAAAGTGACAATAATTTAATAAATTTTCATATTACATAAGATATTGTAACCATTTCACTATAAAAAGACATTTTTAATAAATTTAAATTCTTATTACAGAATTAATGATGTACTTAGAATTATATGGTTTCTGTGAGTGTCTATTTTTGTATGGTAACAAGTTGTCATCGATAAAAATATAAAGGATTAATAAGGCTAACTACATTATAATAAAAGACGTATAATAACTTATGATTTTAAAATCTATAGCATTAAAACAAACATTGCTAGAACTGTTAAAAATATATTAATTTGTTTAATGATATGTTACTTTTGTACGTAAAACAAGTCTTAGGGAAATATTTAAAACGATACATAAGTAAATTTTTAAATTTTCTTCCAATTACAAAACCTTTTAAACTCTAAAAAAGTTCCTTCTTGAAAATTACATAATATAAGTATATTATTTTGAATTTATTAAAAAAAGTTTAATAAGGTAATTTCCTTTTTAATATACCATTCTTATTTATATTAATTTTATATATATAATGATCATAACATTTTTGTTTTATATATTGTGATATCAGACACTTTGCATGTTCACCCACATAAATAGGAATGACTAATAGATAAAAATTATCAAAAAAAATATGAATGCTCTGTGAAGTTGTTATAAAATTTTCGTAAGTACTTATTATATATTATTGTGTTTTAAAATAATTTTAAGTAATAACTTTACAAAATCTAGCAATTTTTTTATAATAATATACCAAAGATAAGCATTCTACCTTGAATTAAAAACAATGAATGCAACAAATTGTCTCGCTTCAATGACAGACGGCAGACCTAAAACTCATTAAGAAGAGTTGCGGGTGGGGCGATCTAGAAATGAAATTTTACTAGCATCCCGCAGGAATGAAAGACTTTAAACTAGAAGACTGGCAGAAGTCACGGCAGTATAACATGGGCATGGGTATACTCCAACTTCTTTGTGGATTCGAGGTCATGCAAAACCAGTAGTTATATTAGGACATGGAGAATTATAGGGAGGCTTACCGCTTGGAGCGCCGCTAACCTGTCCTTCGTCATCCTTAATAGAAAATCACACACCAAATAAACGTTTTATCTTATTACACAATCCCATTCACAGATATTTTTCTAACAAACGTCACTATACTAAAGGACACGAACACTAGTTCACTTCACTCAAAAAATCGATACAACGAACGAACGAAACTTCCATCCGTCAGTCTGATAAAGACAGATATCAAAAAGTTGTAGGTGGCGTGTACATCGCTAAATACATGACGTCATAAAAGGCGCGGTCGGTAAAACAGTACTCAAATATATCATATTCAGTACTTTATCAAATTATAAATATCCTTTAACTTTAAATAGTGAAATCAATACATAAAACTTAATAAATAAATATATTATATTTTATAAAATAGTATTGGTTTGGAATAAATAATATTTTTTTAATTTCACACTTTTATGAAGTTTTTGTTTTGACTAGTACAGTCATTGCGCCTGTGGATGTCAGTGAATTCTTCCGTTTAGTCAAGTGACGCCATTGTGAGCCGTAACGACTTGTAAGAGCACCGAGTTTAATCTCGAATTTTTTAAATAATCTTGGTAAATTGTGTTTTTATATAAAGTGGTGATGTTCTATGTTTAATGGGCTTGCTGTTTTGCATTATATTTTTGTTCAAACTTATGTAATTCAACTGTAAAATTTGTTGAACTTCGGTACCGTTGAGCTAAATTCCTGTGAGGATAGTTGGGCGCCATTCGTCCCAAAACTTAAACAAATTTAACTTGTCAGGGCTAAAAGTTTTTGTTATAATCGCTTATACTTCCATTAAACATACTTATTGTTTACAAATACATTGCTATATTTAAACTAGTAAATTGTAAATTTAAATATGTACTCATGTGGTGCGTCACAGCCGTATTCTAATTAAAACTTATTTCTTTTCAGAATTCTACAGAAAGTATAATAAAACTACTAAAATGGCAGATGATATGCCCACATTCAAATGCGTGCTAGTCGGTGACGGTGGTACTGGCAAAACCACATTCGTTAAAAGGCACTTGACTGGAGAGTTCGAGAAAAGATACGTCGCTACGCTCGGAGTAGAGGTTCATCCACTAGTGTTCCATACAAACCGTGGCCCTATTAGATTTAACGTGTGGGACACAGCGGGTCAGGAGAAGTTCGGTGGTCTCCGCGATGGTTATTATATTCAAGGTCAATGTGCCATCATCATGTTCGATGTAACCTCTCGTGTGACGTACAAAAATGTTCCTAACTGGCACAGAGACTTGGTGAGGGTGTGCGAAGGTATCCCGATAGTGCTCTGTGGTAACAAAGTTGATATCAAGGACAGAAAAGTTAAAGCAAAAACTATTGTCTTTCACCGGAAAAAGAATCTTCAGGTATGTATTCTTAATTGTGTTTCGATATCAGGAAGTTATCCTTTAGTGTATCCTTTGAAATATCAAAGTTAATATATACAGAGTTTTAATGAAATGTATATTTTCAGTACTATGACATTTCCGCCAAGTCTAATTACAACTTTGAGAAACCGTTCTTGTGGTTAGCAAGAAAGTTGATTGGTGATGGAAACCTTGAGTTTGTTGCCATGCCTGCGCTTGTTCCTCCCGAAGTCACTATGGATCCCCAATGGCAGAACCAAATTGAAAAGGATCTTAAAGAAGCCCAAGATACAGCCTTACCTGAAGAAGATGAAGACTTGTAAATATAAAAATAATAAATTCCCTGTGCCCTCTAATGTGATAAGCATGCTTAGCTTACATGGAGTTTTCAATATTTTTCATTCCATTAGATTGCGATTGGTTCATAAGTGCAGTATATTTTTGTATAAAAAAAGTCATTTGCTCTCATCAGTGTATGTTCAGTCATAGATATTCAAATTACACAGTTGAAATTTATTGTAAGGAAATTCAAAAACAATTTTGTAGTTAAACATGAAATTGAGAATGTATGTTCGAGACTGCATCCTTCATGCAGCATCTGTTAATATTTTATTTTGATCTATTTAAGTATTATTAATGTAAAAATAGGTGTCATGCTACAATAACAAGCTACTGAGTTTGTTTTAACAAAAGTAACATATATGCTTTGATAATGTAATCCCATAGAACAAAAGTATTTTACTTTTGGTCCACTAAGCATTGTTATTTATCACTAGGTAGCCTCATCTGATACTTAAGGACTGATAATATTTCACTCTAAAATTATGGTGATACTTTTTGAATAAAGTTAAAAATAAAAATGTGTTTTATGTACAACTTCCCCCAATTCATATATTATGTCACATTCCTAGTGCTTTCAGAATATATATTTTCTTAAAATTACCTCTACTTGTTATAGAATCTTTTAGAAATATATCTATATTATAAAATCAGACCCTTTGCAATCTTTCATATGCAAGTTGATGGCAAAATGATTGTTTAGGAAATAAATAGTCAAATAAATCAATCATTTGTACAAGATCATTAAAAAATTAAGCTTCCCACTAATATTAAAAAACTTCTGAGTAAAATTTTGAAAATACTAAAAAAAAAGGAGTTGTGAAGAAGACTAATAATTTTAATAGCCTTTGTGACTCAACCATTTTTATAAAAAAACTCAATGAATTAAATGCTTATTTATTTTTTTTATTCATTTTTAAACATGTATAATATTACTACAACACTAGTCTTAAATAATAGCAATTCACTTCTTGGCAGCAGCCTTCTCCCTTGCTTTCTTTCCTTCCAGAAGTTTCAGTCTGTCTTCTTCAGATAGATTTTTGTTCACTTTAGTAATAACACCAGTTCCTAGAGTCATATCTCCAAGACGCAAAGTGAATCTCTGTCCCGGTTCACAGACCATAGGTTTCAACAATTTGAGTTGTAATCTGGAAAAATTAACAAATTAGTAAATTATGTACAAAAAGAGTGATAATTTACAACTCAACACTTACGTGGCATCTTCTCCGGGCATAACCATCTCCTTATCAGGTACTGTAACTTGTGCAGCGCAATCCCAAGTCATAGAAAACATTTGTAGCTGGATAAATGAAGTAAAAGGTTTTGAACGACCGCCTTCATCTTTGCTCAATATGTATACAGCTGCTTCAAGGCTGTCATGTGCTTTGACAGTTCCAGGCTTAGCCATAACCATGCCGCGTTTGATCTGTTCCCTTTTAATTGATCGGACTAAAGCACCAAGTTGGTCACCAGCCTGTGCCTCTTCTAAAGTTTTGTGGAACATCTCTACACCAGTGACAGTTGTTTTCATTACTTTTCCATGACCAACTATTTCACATTCAGTTCCTTTCTTTAATAAACCTGGCAATGTGGTAAGTAGATTAAAAAATTGTCTTTATAATTATGAAAGCATTAAGAAGATTACGTTACCTCTGTACAAACGGCCGGTAACAACAGTTCCTCTACCAGGAATTGAGTGTACTGATTCAACAGGCAAGAGGAATGGCTTGTCTAATTCTCTCACTGGAGTTGGAATAAATGAATCTACTTCTTGCAATAGTTTACTAATGGCCTCTGATCCAATTTCTGGGTTTTTGCCTTCCAATGCACATAGAGCAGAGCCTGAAAACAATATTTTGTTTCCTTATTTGCATAAAAGACTACAGGCAATAATTTAATTATATATTTGTACAATAACCTTTGATGACTGGAACATTGTCTCCGTCATATCCCATTTCAGTCATGAGTTCACGAATCTCCATTTCTACTAATTCAACCATTTCCTGATCAGCAGCATCGACTTTGTTAATGAAGACAACTATATGTTGGATGCCAATCTGCTTTGCCAATAACAAATGTTCCCTTGTTTGTGGCATGACACCATCTGTAGCAGCTACTACCAGAATCGCTCCATCCATCTGTGCTGTACCAGTTATCATGTTCTGGAAGAAAAAATAATAAAATCAGGATTTTTATAAAAATTTGAAGAGACAATATTAACGAAAATATTTATTTGTCTAGACAAAGATTGAACCTACAACCAGCAGTATATTAAGTTTCAGTTCTTCCAATACATGTGGTTTCAGATTTGAATTTTACTTAGAAGCAATAAATAGATTGTTGAAATTTTCATTCTGTATGCCTTTAAATTAAGAAAATGATTATAGTAATTCCAATGAATACAAACCTTAATATAATCAGCATGACCCGGACAATCCGTGTGTCCATAATGCCGTGTCTCTGTTTGATATTCAACATGAGCCACATTGATGGTAATACCACGAGCCTTCTCTTCGGGAGCATTGTCAATATCAGAGTACCCTTTCTTTTGAGCTAAATTAAGGTCAGCTAGCACTGCAATATTATAAGACATATACATTTAATTCTGAACAATTAGAATTGACAAAGAAAAGGTGATACAGTAAATGTATCCAAATTAACATACCTTTGGTGATGGCTGCGGTGAGGGTTGTTTTCCCGTGGTCCACATGCCCGATAGTGCCTACATTACAATGAGGCTTGGTACGTTCAAAAACTACCTTCTCGGCATAGTTTCTACGAAGTACAATACTTAGAGGCGTTAACGATGGTACACTTGTGCATCGTAAATGAGAACATTGGCTCTGTTTTAAAACTAATTTAAGAGCTGAAAGTTGAAACAATTTTAAGAAATCTTACATTAAATAAAAGTAAGTAGGCTTTCCTACGAAGTCTTTCAAGATAATACTGGGCCTTTACATAATACTGTAAGGTTAGTTTTATCATGGTGCAATAAAGAGAACCTTGCAAAAATTTACTTTATTTCTAAATTCAGACTATGAATTTACTAAAATTTATTTCAAATATATCATAAGACAGGAAATCTATTTTCTTACCGGGGTTAACCAAACTTTTAGCAAATGATATAGTCGCCATATCAAATGCTAATCACACCAGCCGTTTAAAGTATATTTTATGTGAAATGTATAAATGCAAAGATTAACAATTAATGTTTTCTGTTTTAATAAAAAATCTCTTACAAACCACACTGATATAAATATGGATTTTCAGTTTTATGATAGTATCATAGACATTCTTTAATTTTTGTTCTCATTGTCTATGTTACACGAATAAAGGCTGAGATAATTAAAAACTTGATTATGATTGAACAAAACTATATAATTTTTAAACTTTTATGATGGATTTTTAGTCCATCCAATCTCAAAGTAAAAGTATTTTAATGTTTGCTAAAAACGTGACGAAGAAAACAATAATGAGGCATACAGACATACGTATATAACATAATTAACTTATTGTGCTTCTTTTTGATATAGTTACGTTAAGTTCTTGGTTTTTTTTCGAGGGCGTGAATTTTATAGTGATTAAGGTGAAGAAAAAAAATATTTCGGGTCATTGGTCTTTTTTCTATGCGGCAAAGAGACTCATTATAAAAAGTAAATTCTGTACTAAACCCCTTTTAATCTTATAATATGCTAAAATTTAAAGAAAACTAATAGATAGTTAAGTATTTTAACAAATGTATTCTTCTATATTTTAACAAATACGCGTTTCCTTTGTAACTTAAAATTAAAAATCAAAATCATCACTGGCCGGAGATTTTTCTCGATTTTCATCAATTCCAGTTCTAGGTGTTTCAAATTTGTTTACGGTTTCCTTAACAATATTTGTTTCTGAACTTCCTGTATAGCATAGAAAACGGAATTAATTGACACAAAAATTCGATAGTCAGTTTCAAAACAAGAAAAGATCGAAACAAAAGAATATAATACCATGTGTAACAGTTTCTTGAGTTGAATCACATTTTTCCGTTTCTTGGACCAAAGTATTGGAATCTTTCTCAACTGGGTGGTCACATTTTTTCTTTGCGCCGTATTCTTTAATTCCCAACCTTTTTTTGGACATCATAGAATCTTCTATTTTATTAGGTACAACGTTATTATTACTATCACTATCACTCTCAGACTCTGAGGAATCATCGACCAAATCGATGTTATATTTCCTTTTGAACTGTTTTTGATATTTTTCCTTATATTTTCTCGAGACGGCCCTCGGTTTTACGATAGGCCCTTTGTACCTCCATATAAAACTATATTTTTTCAAACGCTCCACAAGAGGCAATGTTTCAGCATCATTAGCTTGTGATATAGCTGCTTCTAAGCGATCCCTGTATTTCTTATTGTTTAATATTTTAATAACATTTTTTTGTTTGGAATAAGGTTTCAGATGTAGAGGATCTATCCAGGCTCTGGTCACGTCATATTGATCGAAGAAAACCACGTTGTAGTGTGTCTTGAAATGATTATAAAAGTTAAAATAATGAGAATCAAGACTTTCGCCTATTCATTTAAATGAAACTGATATTTTTGGATTAGTACGCTATATTTATAACTAGCTTTCCGGCCGCAGCTTCGTCCGCGTGGAGTTCGGTTATATCGCGTTTCCAAGATTACCTTTCAATAGTGTGCGATAAAAACTATCCTATGTTCTTTCTTAAAATCTACTCTATCTCTGTACCAAATTTCATTAAAATCAGTTCAGTGGTTTAGGCTTAAAAGCGTAACAGACAGACAGACAGACTGACAGAGACCACAGTTACTTTCGCATTTATAATATTAGTAGGGTTTTTTAACTGCATATTCTCGACGTTTCGGTTACTTAGCAGCAACCGTGATCACGGGCAGATGAGATGAAAATTTCTAATAATCCGAATATATTAGTCTCATTCAGGTAATAAAACTTGAAGTTACGTGATTTTTTCATAGTAACATATATTTAGTTGTTCTACTAACTGGTATATCAGAGAATCCGTCCAGCCAGTAGAATTGTTCAGTATCTGGACAATCATCTACCATAGCAGGCCACCACGGCCAGCCGGGGATCCTGGCTAGAACTAACGAACCCGCAGAATACTCATTATGAATCAAATCCTCTTCATCATGCAAGAGTATTGGAGATTCTGGTGCTGAGCAACTTGCTAGAGATTTGTCTATAATATTTTGTTGTACCACATAAATCAAAAATGCTATACACAGGTAAAATAATTTTGCCGTCGTTGCAGTCGAGTTAAAATTTAATACAAAATAATTCATTTCAAATTTCATACAAATCAATCGTATTCGTATATTATAAAATTATAAATTATATAATATTACCCGAATTCATTCTACAGAACCACTTCTTTGGTAGTTCATATCTATCTAGTATATCTGGTAAGTATCTCCATTTATCACATTCATCGCATTGCGCCCACAGACCTTTGGTTCGTTTGTTTTGAAGCCATATTAACTTTTGTAAGTGTGTTAGACCTCGAGCCGGCTGACTAAGATGAAGTTCGTATGTACTACAAAGACAAAACGATAGTATTTAATTGCCATTGCTTGTATTTTAAATCATAATTACAATGTTTCAAGATTTCATTTATTGTCTCTCTCAAGGCAACATTAGTTACTAAGTTCAAGTTTTTAGTAATGGATTAAAATAATTTGTAGAATGTATTAAAATATTTCGTTACCTGCGATTCTGTAAATCAGGTTTTTCATTTGTTGCAACCGCTGTACCATAGTCTTTTACGTTCATTTTAGGTTTGGAATTTTCTTGCGTCTTAAAAAATGTATATATGTATATAACAACTTTTCCACTACATATTACTTATAAGTTTTTACTAAACCTTTAATGAACTTAATCGACACTTAAATTTTATGTATTTTAGTATAAATTTTGAATATAATGTTATATATTTTTTTGTATCTGCTCACCAGGGGCTGATTAGCTTCTTCTTGTGGTTCATGAGCCCTTCCTATTGCCAAATTACCGCTTTCTACATTTTCCATCGTGCCAACGAAATATTTGTTGAAAATAATTAAAAAAAGTGGAAAGAAACAATGATTACGCTCCAATTTCTTACGAAGTTCTCCCGCCAAAATATGATAATTAACATTTCCGCCTTATTTTAAAATTCGATTCATCGAGCGGCACCATCATATAATTATTTTCTATTCGTATATTTAAAATTTTATATATATATATATATAAAAGAATAATAATAAATTTGATTTTATTTTATAATTAATTTACAAAAAAATTCAAACGATAAAATAAAATATTGTATATAAAATTTATGCATGAAATTAATTAAATACCCAACTAAATTCAACACATTTTGATGAATAAATAACCTGTAATATAAATAAAAAAAATGTTAAGTCATGTAAATAACTTTTATCCAAAGAACATTAACCATATCTAGTTTTTAAAGAATAAACTATAAAAAAATATTTCCGAAAAAATATTATAGGTTTCAATAGTGACTGTTTTAATTTTAATTTTTTAAAATTTTATAGGAAGTGCGCATTTTGTTTTATCTTAGAGGCTGCCGGCTGGTGGGCTGGTCGCCATATTGGTGGCGGATTGAAATAATTAGTTCTACTCTAAAATAGTCGTCGTAATCGACGAAAGGGGGTATTCTATACTCCCTTTTTGTGTTGAAGTTTTATTGTTTTTCGATTTACTTCTGTGTTACAAATAATTTCTGAGAAAAGTACTATTTTCTCTTTGTTTTGAATTAAAAACATGGCTTTCTAAAATGTCGGCCCTGAACGTAAGATTTTCGTCTCCTTGCGGAGTATCCCGCTCAATTGTGGATGTTGGAAGAAACCAGAATGGACAAGAAATCTTCAAATCGTACTACTTTACAACAGTCGAGGGCATCAGCCATCGACTGTAAAAAAAACACGGGTAAGTATGTAAAGGTCAATCCAGATTCGACCAATGTCATTTTATAGAATTACAATTCCAGGTATAAAATGGCATAAATTTAATTATTTAATCTAATATTATGATTACATTATAAGTAAAAAGTATAAATTTGTCAACTTATGTGTATCTTTTCCCCTTCCTTGTTGACAAATACTGCACTTATTTATTTATGTTTTGTCTTTAATGAAGTGTAACTTTCATAAATTCAGTTTCTTATGTAAATAATCTTATACAGAACTAACCCACAAACCTTGGCCAAGAAATAATAAGAAACGTGAAGGACCAGGAGCTACTCTTAAAAATGACCCTTACCGGAAGAATGTTCAATCACAAAGAGGGAGAGGTCAAATGGATAAAAGACCATGTGCTCGTGGTACCAATTTCATTGTGGGTGGAACGCAGAACACCAGGTGTGTGGATTAAAAGGACTTAAACAATTTCATACAATCTTTACCTCATATTATTGCTATTGATTATTATTTTCATTATTATTTTCAGGCTAGAAGATGAAGAAGGACCTGAAATAGGTTCAGTGTTTATACCTGGGAGTAGAAAACAAAACTTGAACCATTTGCTTAACTTCAAGTACCCTTCAAGGAGCGGTACTGATGTCAGAAGTGTAGCACCACGTCGGCAAGCCCAACATGTCTCTTATAGACATGAACATGACCTCTATCTGAGGGCTTAGTAAGATATTTTCTTTATTATTAAAAGTAAAACCCTAATTTTCTTGTGATTTATATATATAAATAGCATATATATGCTTATTATTTATAATGTTAAGAATTTATACTAAAATCTATGAAAATTAGAATCATGATCTTTTTCATACATTTTAGATCAATTTTTAGTATTTATGATAGAACCTTTGTTACAAATATTTTTTTTATTTTAAGTATTAATAGATATTAAAGTTTTTTTAAATTACAAAGCATTTCTAAAATGACAATTTCTCTGTAAACATATTCATGTTTAAAATATTTAGATATTATTAATAAATTACTGATAAAAACTTTGCTAAATCTTTAAGTATAAAGTATATTTGGGTCACATTATATACCTATATAATTATATTGGACTATTTCTTTTCCAGCTGCCAATTTGTGGTCAAGGAAGATGGTGACTATAAGGTGAATTTAATGGATCCCGACTTGCCTTTGAAGTGGGAACAAATTGAGGAAATTGTAAGTATATATTGTGTAATGTTTTATATTATATAAGCATAACTTCTTTATTATATATACACTTTAATTTAAAATCTCTTTATATTCCAGGTAGTGAGAAGCACTGGTAAATTAGAATGTCCTATATGTCTCGGTACACCTGTTGCCGGCCGTGTGGGTCACTGTGGTCATGTTTACTGCTGGGCTTGTATACTTCATTACAGCAGTACTCATGATAAACAGCCCCCACCATGTCCTGTATGTGCTATGGGACTGCAAGTTAGTGATATGAAACCAACTCATATGGTGCAGTGGGAACAACCAGCTGAAGAGGTTGGTTTTATCTTCTATTTATGGGTTTAACACCAAAAACTACATTGCAAATCGGTTTAAACACACTTTATTTCTCAAGATTATAATCACTTCGAGGAGAAATAAACAAACTTAACAAATCAGTTATAATTAAAATACTGAGTGCGCGAACAAATAGACGGTATTACAAAAAAAAAATTACAATTTACACTTGAATTGGTTCAAAGTAATATGGTAAATATCAGTTTTTGTATATATCTATAGATAAATGGTCCATACAAATATGACAAATATATGGATGACTAAATTCACTGACTTGAGTCGTGGCACAATAGTTTAATTAATGAAGAAACCGCAATGTAATATTCTCAATATTGTGTATTCAAATCCTGCTTGTATTCAATTTTTCATTGTATGTTTTCTATTTAAATTTTTAATTTGTACATCAAAATATGTTATTTTAAATTAAATTTATTGAGTTAATAAAAGCTAAACATGGTGTATGGAAAATAGTATAATAAATAAGAGTGAAAATTTCTATTATTGCATAATAATATATTATATAATATAACCACTATTTATTACGTATATTGTACTTGATACAGGTAACTATGCGTCTTGTGAGACGTCTTCGCGGCTCCACTATTGTTGAAGCATCACCTCCCAGAGGACAAATGACAGAGACTTCAGAAACACATATATTGCCATTGAAAGATCTTCCCAACTATCCTTTTGCTAAACTGTTCTCGGCATCAAAGCAAGAGGTAATAATGAAAGTCAATGAAATTATGTACTTATTAATTATGAGTTAACATAATAATATATACCTTTACATATTCATTAGGTTCTGGACATTCTGGAAAGAGACAGAAAACAAATTGAAATGCAAATACTAGCTGAGATTGACACTACCGAAATAGTTTATCTGGAACAAGCTTTAGAAATGCTTAAATTGAAAGAGAAGGAAATTTCCTTGCAATATGAAGAACGCAAAGATGATAACAAAAATGTTGCTGAATCTTTAGCGCCAGTGGTGTATGAAAAACAAACTGTCAATGAGACAAAACTGGATTGGTTTGATGTTACAGACGAGGGAGCAACATGCTTAACACCCATAGAAGATAACTTGGCTTCCTTAGACATTAATGTGAAATCTGAATTAGACCCAGAAGCTGATATTTTCACATTAGACGTGAATGAAAATGCTGAAACTGAACTTGCAAACACTGAATATATGACCGATGATCAATATATGAATGATGATTTAAAATCATTTGACAAAGAAAATCAAGCAAAATATTTTTATTTCTATCAAGGTATTTTTTTATCTTAATTTTTTTAATAGACAAAGTTAATTAACTTAATAGGTAATTTAACATCTAATTGTCATTTTTTATGCTTGTTATATAAATCAATTAAATTAACCTGGTAAATATTTTTATTACATGATTATTCCTCATTATAATTTATCTTTACAGCTGAAGATGGCCAGCAAGTATTTCTCAACAGTCTCAATGTTCGTATACTGAATGCGTCTTGGGGTGTTCTGGCGGCCGCGCCTAACGTTATACGTGGCCGTGTTTTACATCGCGAAACCCTACCTCTATGTGAACAGGTAAGTCTCATACTAATTTTAGTTATATTAAATTATACTCGTACAAATTTTTATTAAGATAGAGATGATGAAAATTAACACAACACCATTTTTAAAATTGGCGTACATTAAATAGTGGTCATACAAATTTTCAGACAAGGAAGCATATGCCGCACACAGCGCATTTGCCTCTGCATTGTTCATTTGATATTGTGGAACTTGATCTAAAACCACCTTTTGTGACACAGGAAGCACTTTACAACTTTTCAGGTTTGTGTATTATAAGCACAAAATTGTTAGTCACCTAATAAGAAGGGCGCCAATTGATTTATAGGTTATGTAAAAATGTTTACGTAAATGTGTTATATTTACAGTTGAATTAGAGAAACGTGCACGACAGCGGGCCAAAAACCAACGCGATGAACGTCGTCGTGAAAGGGCGTATCGCCGAGCTATGGAGGGTCCACCTAAACCAGATTTTTCATCTGAAGTTGTCTTCCCTCCCGCTGCGGCCAGTTACTATGGAAGTCCTCCGCAAAATGAATTCTTAAACTATGATCAGATATCTCCATCCACATCGCAAATCGATCAAGCGAGCCCGAATACTAATGTAACTTCATCATCTGGACTATCTTTTGCCAAAGTAGGTACCAGGTCATGTAAAAAACAATATTTAAAAAATTTTAATGTCTTTATTAAATTATTGTCAAAAATACCACTGCTATAGATTCTAAGTAAATGCTTTCAAGATGAAAATTAATGCAGCAATACCGATTTAGTTATAGTATTGACATAAATGTATTGTATTTGATCAGATGGCCGGCGCTGGTGGAACATGGCGCGTCCGTAAGACTACTCCGCCTACACCGACCACACCACCTCCCGAGGAATCCTCTGGACCACGAACTCTTGTACTCAGCGATGCCATCGAGGCAGCCCTACAAGCCACCAGCCCGCAGACATCCGGCAAGAAGAAGAAAACTAAACAAAAAGTTCTATTCACCACTGGAATGCACCGCGCTGCTTAATACTTAATATTTTGTTGCCTATCATATTTAAAACTCACATACATGTAATAACTAGTTTGACGTAGCCAATGTTCTGTTTTTTTTGTGCACTTTGTCCGTGTTTTTTTTTTGTAACAAAATTAAGTAAAAGGAATAATGTATTAATTGTTGAAGTGTTACTAATGTTTGGATTGTAGTATAAATATATGTATAACCCTACAAGGTAGCCATTTGTTCAAAAATACGTATGTCATTAATCATTTATATTTTATTAAAGCGAACATACTTTATTGTTGTTTTTATTAAATATGTTTATTATTAAGAAGTAAGAATCCCCTCTCCCTCCCGTTATATGAGATTACCATTCCTCTAAGTACTCTTAAGTCTTTTAGTCCAGTCAAAATAGACTAAATTATGATTCCAGATTGCATTAATTCCCAACAAGCTGATTTTTTTGTAGGCTTTGAATAAAACAATAAATAAGGCTTCGAATACGTGATTAAAAATGACATGCAAAAGTCCATAACGATCCGGCACGTGCGTTGTTTTTTATTCGAGATCAAAGGTCACAAATTTGTTTTTTGCCTATATCTCTGAAGCAACGAGAGCTATCGAAAAAATACGGTTCTTGCAAAATTTGTAGATTGTAAAATTGTCTAAAAAAAAGATCTCAAAAATTTTTTTATAGTTCAACTTTACACGTATTAGCTAGGATTATACTGAGAAAAAATAAATTCGCCTCTTTTCACTCTATAAGTCTGTAGTGGTTCCCTTTTGCTCAACTAATGTACCTATCGTAATTTTCAATATAATATTTAGTTATTGATTGAAATTTTAATGGAAAAATCAATTAAATTTTTCCTTAAATTTAAAACATATAATAATTTATGAGGAAAGACAGTTAAATGAATATTATATTTGTAGTCCGGGTTTTATGTAATGTTTAATCAGCTGTATGTAATGTCAAAATTGACGGTACCTGCTCATGCTTGAACTGAAAAAATAACAATATCATACAAACTCCAATCAAATTATAATAATAGAAAATAGTTCTTTTGTTTGGATTGTTTCATTAAAGGGTATGACTTCCTCCAAAAAAAATTATATATTTGAGCCCTTTAAAATAACTGAGGTAAAATATAGAGGTTTTGGCAGTCCTCGGCCTAGAAGTGGACATCGAATAGCTTGCGATGATGTTAAAATATATTGTTTCGGAGGTTACAATCCTCATTTGCCTTTGAACATAATACAAAGGAACAACCCCACATGGACCCCAGGAATGCCTTTATTCAAGGAGCTTTGGAGTTTTACATTAGCTACAAAAAAATGGAAACAACATATTGTAACCGAGAACATGCCAGAAGAATTAGCATCTAATGCTATGTGTATGAGTGGCAAATATTTAATGGTAATGTGTTATAAAATAACATATATAAAATGTAATTTCTATGTGAAGATTATTGCTTATTGATATAAAATGTGTTTCTAGATATTTGGTGGCACAGGAGCACCTTTTGGTAATAAATGTAGTAATGAAGTTATTACGTGGCGGACGTGTAATGGTGATGCCAGGTTGCAGATATTGGATGTGACTGGTTTCAGGCCACCTCCTCAGTATGGACAGTCAATTTTATGTTATGATGGCAATTTCTATGCAATAGGTGGTACCAATGGTTTTGCATATAACTGTGATATTTACAAGTGAGTTTTATTTTAACAAACTCTTATTAAACTAATGCTGAAGATATATACTACTAGAACTCTGTGTGTTGTATTCCAGGTTAGATTTACGAACAATGGTCTGGGGGCCTGTTTTTATTGGTACTGGTCAAGAAGGTGAACCGCAAGGCAGGTATCGACATGAAGTCATTAGAGTAGGCAATAAACTGTACATAATTGGAGGTGGAACTGGTGATTTGGCATTCGAATTAATGGAAATACCTATGTATGATCTGGAAACAAATACATGGACTAAACTAGTTCCGAAAGCTGATGATTCTAAGAAGGACATTAGTGCACCATTAGCAAGGAAGTGTCATAGTGCGGTGCAAATAGAAACTGAAAATGGTGTTCAAGTATTTGTTGCTGGCGGCACAGACGGACAAAGTGTGTTTGATGACATATGGAGATTAGATATATCAAAAATGCAATGGACTCTGATGCAAAAAACTGTTCTTCCTCATCCATTATACTTTCATTCTTCAACAGTAACATCAAATGGCTGTATGTATATATTTGGTGGTATAGAACCCAACGATAATGAGACGAGAAGAAATAATATATTGTATAAGGCTTGGTTGTGTATTCCTAAATTAAGTGAGATCTGCTGGGAGGCCTTGTTGAGTCTTTATCCAAATCTTGATCATTTGGACCGAACCTCTCTTATACATTTAGGTATTCCACTACATTTTGTAGATAGATTACATGTTTTGTAAATTATTCTGGATTTCAGAGCATAATTTATTGTCAATCAGACAAACGTCTGGTTCTTGTTTGAGTTTATTTTATTTTTAAAATAGTAACTATGTTCATGTTTTTTGACTATATGTATGTTCAGTGAATATTTTATACATTAACCATAATTCAAGTACATACAACAAACATAATAAGTTAAGTTCATATGAATTAAAATTTTTGTACTTTTGTTTATCTTTAATGGTCAAACTTATAGACTCATAATAAATTTACATTGCATAATGGTAATATTTAAATTGATCACATGTTTTTTATTTTACTATCATGGTACTATGAAGAAAAGAAAATATATTTGCTTAATAATAATGACTTTATGTTGAAACATGTGTATTAATTCACAACAACTGACAATATTGTAAAAAATTTGTATTTACTAGCATGTATTTCATAATATATTTTTAAAAAGGCTACAAGTGATTTATTTGACAAGAAATGCATTTTAGTAAAAAAATAATGCCTAGAACAATAGTAGTATACAAATCAGATATATTTGTGAAATGACAACTCAGATTTCTAGTCAGTAAATAATCCCTAAAATTGATACTTTATTTTTCTATAATCAACAAAAATAAATAAGTTTCTCTGTAAAATATTAAAACTTAAAATATACCATTTAACCTATATTAGAAAAAAATTGTAGTCCCCCAAGCGGTGTGCGAAAGAACTAATTGCTTATTTTAAATTATAAACCAGAGTTAAAGTTGGTAAAATTGATATTAAAACCAAAAATATTCTTTCACATAATGTTTCTCATGTAAAATAAAATATACTATGTAACTAAACTGACACGGGTAATGTAAGTTAGGTCCCTGGTATAATTTCATGGTATAAATCTGAAAATATGTTAGGGTGATATATTGTAAAAACTACGTAGTGCGTCTTATTATTTTGCTACAGACCTTTATTCGTGTTTTGAAGAAAGACTCCGGGCACCCAAAAATTACTTATTAAATTTGTAAATTTTCTTAATTTTTCCCATAAAAGAAACTACATACAATTTTTTCATTTGTATTGTAGATTTCCATATCTCAGGTCTCACATATGTTCCTATTCAGTTTCAAGGGTAAACTGCCGCAACAAGTGTGCGTCGGCGTAAGGCGTTCGTCCCAATGGACACGATTTCGCGCCAATTTGCGGCCGCAGTGGTGGGAATAGTGCCGTGCGGACGGGACATGGCCGGACCATGTAACTCGGGGTTTAACATACAACGTAAATTGAACTATCGAGAAGAATAAACATTTTAAAGTTGTTGATCACATCAATGTGCAATATGTATTGTCATATTTTTTTTCACACGAATCGATATCGCATATCACAAACTTTATCAATAATGTTTAAAATTAAATAGTGGTAGTTATAAAATATTTATTTTTAATAAATTTATTAAAATCAATTACGAAGGAATATAAACTTTATCAATGATGGATCTTGCACCGCACAGATCTCCAACTCCAGAATTGCATGCAACGTACACGTCTTTAGAAATATTAGTGGCTGTTGTAGCAATTATTGGAAACTCTATGGTGATACATGTATTCCGTCGTGATCGAAGATTAAGAAGAAAAACGAACTATTACATTGTGTCCTTGGCAATCGCAGATTTGTTAGTTGGACTTTTAGGCATTCCATTTGCAATCTTGGCTTCCGTGGGGCTACCTAGGAATCTGTACGCCTGTTTGTTTACAACGTCGCTGTTAGTGATGCTGTGTACAATCAGCATCTTCTGCTTGGTAGCCGTTTCTGTGGATCGCTATTGGGCAATCCTGCATCCGATGTGCTACTCAAGAAATGTTCGAACTCAGACAGCCATACGTGAGTAAAAAAAGTTTTAATATAAGCTAAGTATTTTTTTAAACACGTTTTATGAGAGGTCAGCACTTATCTTTATTGCTGTCATGATTGGCAAACAATAGACATGAAAACCTTACCGGTGTCATGATGGCCACTAAAATAATTGTTTTTAAATAATTAGTCTATCAATTGGTTTTATTGGATCCACTTATATATTATTAAGAGTATACGATGTTATGCATCATATCTATTCATTGAGGTTGTATCAATACTGCGTTATTTATAGCACCTTTTCGATAATTTTTATCCATGTCCTGCTTATATTTAATGTATACTTTATATATATATCGTGGAATATTATTAATATTTATAATTCTTTGTAATTTATACCTATTGTTTTAAAATTTAATATAAAAATTTGCATCTAAAACAAAAAGTTGGTACCGCACAAAATAGATTCGTCCAGAAGTTAATTTGTAAAGATTTATTTTTAAAAAGAGGCAACTTTTTTTTAAATTTACTATTGATAACTATTTGAACGAAAATTATTACGTGTGTTCAATAATAAAATGTTTCAAAGAATTTACAATACAACAGCTGGAATTATAAATATAAAATTCAATAGTTCAATGTAATTCTTAAAATAATTACTTGTCATCAGCCTATTAACGCCCACTGCTGAGCATAGCCTCTTCTCACATGGAGAAGGTTTTGAGCATTAATCACCACGCTTGCTCAAGACGGGTTGGTGATTTCAAACTTATAATTGTGAAACTATAAGTCCAGGTTTCCTCACGATGTTTTCCTTCACCGTATGTCAGTGGTGTCTAAAATAATTACTTACTTTTACATAATTATAATTAAAGGAGGAAAATATAGGAAATACGAGCAGAGGCCGATTAAGTAAATATTTAAGGGCCTGCACCAAATTATATTGAAATAAGATCGGTATGCTTAGTACAAGTTTGCAAGTTACACTACGTACGAACTACGAAGCGTTGCTCGTTTCTGATTCAATGACCTATATTCATACAAAGAGAAAATATGCGACGATTTATGAATGAAAAACTGTTCATGCTGAGAATACATAGAATTTTTGTGTTATTAAGAAAATTTATTAGAGCGACTTTTTTGATAGGAGCAATGCCTATAGTTTTACGTTTTTGTGCCTCCATAAACAAGGACTATAACACCTTTGTGTTGCAGATGTCCATTGGCAAAGGTGACTGACTACTTTCCATCAGGTAGACCGTCTGATCATTTGCCCCTTGGTGGCTAAATCTTGTAGTGGAATCTAATATGTTTATATATTTTATATATATTATAAAATTAATAGTGCAATGAAATTAATTGTTAGAAATATTTGCCAAACTTACTTTTGCGGTGGTTTTTTTTATTCTGTATAACCAGAACCCTTACTTGAATTTTCCATTGTTGTATCACATAGTGAGCGTTAACGGTGTTTCGTTTATAATCAACGTCAATACTATCGTGTACAAGTATTTATGGAAGACAAACTGGAAACGCTCCGTATGTTTGTGTCGTTGAACACTTGTGGTAAGTACTAGTCATAACTACGATAAGTAGTTGAAAGGACAGAAGAGAAAGACGTGTATAATGTTTATTACGGAAAAAAAAACTAAAAATCTTTGAAAATATATACCATTAAAGATAGTTTTAACAACTATGATGCAATTTTTTTGTAGGTATATTCTAATATCAATTTAAAAGTTACTACATATCTTTACTTGGCCATCAATGTTTATTACTTTCTGAAACTTGCAGGCTATTTTCGGATTAAACCAATCAATTTGTAAGAAAAATGTTTTCAAAGGTACTTTTTCAAAGGAACTAACTAAAATTTCAGAATGGTAATAAATGATGAAAAAACTAGATATAAAATACATAACATTGAGCCATCGTCTTGTCGTAATTCTTATTGTAGAAATTTAGAATGAACGTAAGAGTTTCACATATTTTTTTATTTGGTAACTATTGAAAACACACTAATAAATAACTATAAATTATGAATACACTTGGTATTCGGTATGACAAAAGTAAACCTTATGCAAACAATGTTGCCATCGGAGTTATCAAGAAATAAGACATTAGTTTAAACAAGATTTAAAAGTAGTATTAAAAAAATAATTATTAATATATTACTTTTTTTAAGTTTATAATATAATTGAAAAATATGCAATACAATTATTTTAATGTACTTATATAAAAAAATTACTGTGCTCATGCTTTATAATGTTATGTGAAATTAAGTTTGAATCTTTCTTCAAAAACAGAAACAGATTCAGACAAAGCTACCTATATTTCCGTTCTACCTCTAACAAATAGGAGTTGTTTGAGTACCGTCCTTTTGGTGTTACTTAATTGTTCGAGTAATTATTTAAAAACAAGTTTCTATTCTTATTTTGTTTAAAATTTTCCACGGTAACTTAAATATAAAAAAAATTGCAAAAATAAAAAATAATTATCATAGTAAACGTATAAAATTTTCACTTTAGGAGTAAATGTTAAAACGATTAAAATATGGTGAGTTAAATTAAATTCACCAAGTATCATATACATATTTACTTATATATAGCCCACAATTAAATAATTAAAAAGTATTTTTAAAATTTTAATTGATATAAATAACATGTCAGAACAGAAATGACAATTAATATAGTACATTTTAGCAAAGGGACATGTTAAAATATTCATACATAAGAATTTCTAAATTTTAGTCTGATGTTTATTTATGAATTCTATTGATAGGATTTATAAATGTAAATCATTAATATCGTAACGTTAATAAAAAATGGAAGCTGTCAAGTGTCAAGCTGTCAAATGTCTTAAACAGAATAGTTAATTAGAATCTGTGGTAATTATGTACCTTATTTAATTAAAAAAACTAATTTTTAGGCTTCTTTATACACTTTCAATAGCTATTGCTATACTGTCAATTCGCTAAAAATGTTAATATTGCATAAATTGGGGTCACGGTTCAAACTATATAGTCATTTATCTTTATCGAAATAAAGCAATATAGATTATCTTTTGATATCGGGAACAAGTTCAAATTAACCATCACATAAATTTAAATAAAAAAAATGTGTGTGTAAATGTGTAATTATAGAAAAGAGGTTTTAATTGAGATCTAAAATTTAAATTCAGGCTGAAGAATTTTGTACCTTTGCCTATAAATTTCTCCAAGGTTCATCACTCTACATTATATCAGTCTCGTCACGTTCACGTCAGTCATAGCTCGTAAAGGTTGGATTTATGGTCACCATTTCTAGTGCGGATCTTAAGAACAATATCATCATCTATATTGTTACAATACACGACCCACCCAAGATATTCTTCATAGTTTTCATTTCTGTTTATGGCTATTAGGATTTAAGAATTAGCGTATGTGGACGTACAAAATATTATTGAGTTCTTATAAGCTCATATGTTATCCTTTCATATAGGTCGATTTAAATTATGTTCAAGAATGGAATAATAAAAGACTTTTTTCGTTTATTTTATTTTATTTTTCTTCTTCTACCTGATAATTTCCCAGCTTTAGCCAGGGTCTGCCTTACATGTTGTGAATAGTTTTGGCTAATTGTTCTTACGACCGGCCGCCTGCCTGACATCAACCCTCTTTGGGAATAACTTTTTTCTTCTTTTTATTAAAACATAGAGCAGTCTAACTCAACTATCTTTCAGGAAGTGTAATTACAACTTATTTGTATAGTTTATTAAGTTTACCTTTTTTTCCCGTTATCTTGTTTACCAGATGTCGATATTATATTCTAATCATTGCAATAACGGAAGGGTGATAAGAATTATTAGCTATTAAACATATTTTTCTCCCAAATGAGGACCTTTTAATATTCTAACAGGATTTTTTCTTCGAGTTAGGTAAAAATCATTAGTTTGCGAGATAAAATATTTTTTGTCACTATAGTGTGAAACTGTGAAAGCGAATTAAAATAATTTGAATACGAGCGTCTAAATAAAACAGCTAGTTTATGATAATCTCGTTTGACATGTATAAAAATGTACGGGAAATCGTCTAGGCCGCCGTCGCTGGCTTCCGTGTTCGATTTAGGTGCACGTCATTTATATATACCTACGTCTTGTCACACAATTATATGAAAAAAATTATCTAAACTACTAGCCTGTATCGTTTTTAAAATTCACATGCAGTTTTTTTCATTACCACTTAAGTCATTCTTTTGGTGAAATTTAGCCTAAATAGTCTTTCTAAAATCATTGGCATCAAAAACATTTAAAAGTCGTTTATATATTTTCATTTTAGCATCAGACATTGTGCTAACATTTGCACCACGAGATTTTAAAGTAAAAAAAATATGCGAAGAATAGTCGGTGCTTTTATTAATGTAAAAGAAATATTGAACTAAGGAAATTAATATTTTAACACTATTATTGCCCTCGTTAATAAATTTTATTTTTCTGTTTACTAAGATTTTGTATTGGTTAGTTACAGTAATACGATAATTCCAAGTAAACTACTACATTATCTTAGAATATTTTTCAATGTGACGGTAATTGTAAGACGAGCTTTAAGGCTGCGCTAACACCAGCATTAATAAAAATAATATACCTACTCAAGTTAAATTTCAGAATAAAGTTTTATTTTACTCAGGAAGATTATTAAAATCATTACGTAAATTTATACTCTTGTAGAATTATATTTAAGGCCTGCGTGAAACCGCATGTCATACTATATAATATAGTGTCCATACCCTTAGTATAAGTATTATCGGCAAACTACACAACACACAGTTACAACGTTTTCTCACTAATAAAATTCGTTTTAAGCCGCCACGGGTTCGGATTATTGTCCAAAAGAAATCGGAGTTATTTCGTTATGGAAAATGATTTGTAGGACAATTTATATCTTTAGTCACGTAACAATAACATAGGTTTAGTGGAACGGAAAATAAAAATAAAATAGTTATTTAATATACAGTTACAGGCTATTTTGTTAAGATTAAGTATGATCAAGTATAACAAAGATAAAACATATTTAGTTTATATATGTATTAAAAGGAAAATATTTTGTAACTATTACAATTTACAAAGCTTCTTTTGTAATTGTAATAAAGAAAAAATATAGGATTTGAGATGAGGTATACATTGCACTATGTACAATCGAGCGTCTCCCGTTTCTCTATAAATAACATACGTATTAATCTTATATGATTTATGAATGGAAAACTGTTATGGCTCTTTATATAGTGTGGCTATGAAAACTTTTTTTAAGCCTACAGTTTAGTTGTGTTGTATATATATGTTTATTTATGTTACGTACGCGCTACATACGAAGAAAAAAAATTAACATCGCGACATCTTTGTATCGGTAAAATTACGTATAACGAGTGACGCCGCTGACTCCGCGGAACCAACACCAAGCCGTGTGAACCAGAAGATTCCACATACCACACAAGCAACAAAATGCCATTGTCATCCTAACATCGTGGCAATCATGTAGTCTTAGGTATAGGTTATACGTTTTAAAATGTAATTCTTATTTTAATATACATATAGATATGTTTCGTAGTTTTCCTGGAACCTCCGGTTGCCACTCTATATAATTATTAACTAAATATTGTTTATTATGATACACAATTAGCGTTATCAATTTCATTTATATCAGATATTCCTTCTTGTATATCGAGCGTGAGGAAATTGAATTGGTTCGGATTTCGGATTCTCGTGTGATGAGCAATGATATGTCAAATATGTAATATAATAGCATTTCGTCGTAGAAACATATTTCGGTACTAATAGGGATATTTATAGACCAAGAGCTTTGAATTACGGATATGATTTTTTTTATACGAATTCGTGCTTGTTATTACTGAAGAACGAAAAAATATTTACGGTTATGAAGAAAAAATCGTCAGGTTATTATAGAGACACAATTTGAATTTATAAAATATCAGTAAAAATGTGAAATGTTTATGTTATTCTTGATAATAGTATACCAATTCGATAGATTTTTCTAGAACATTTATAGATTCTTTTTTGTGATCACATTATTATTTTATTATATGGCCCAAAAAGCAATTTTTTTTATTGCATCAATTCTTGTAAATACAATTGAATAATATTAAAAATTTTTTTTTTGCTTTATAAATGTAAATGTAGGTACATATTTCCTAGTTCTAGGACCAATAATCAAATTAGTAGAAAAACAAAATTCATTACACATAAGATTTAAATACATATATAAATAAATAAGATTCAGATGTAAATATTCTTATTAGATCAACGTCTCAAGGATTGCTTATCTGACCACAATGCTCAGGAAATAGTTCATCTGAGTATCACAGGAAGTTTGTTCTGAGCGGAGGCGTGCATTGTTGAGACGACTTGACACTCTGATATTTGGTAGATCACAATTTGTTTCATTCAATACCTGGTATACAAGATCGAACTGCTAAAGTCTACAAAGTATTTTGAGAGGAATGCAGGGATACATTCAATACCTGGTATACAAGCTATACATCGAACTGCTAGTCTACAAAGTTAAAGTATTTTTTAAGGAATGCAGGGTATCGTTTGTATCTTTATAAGTTTATTGCGACCCCATTGAGCTACGGTTTAATTGGATAAAGAGATTACTGCGTTTATTTCCGGCAAGATCCCCATTTAATGGCAGGAACGTATTTAACTACGTAAGTCACTCATTGACTGACGTTATAAAGTAAAGTGAATTGTAGTTTGTGATCGGATTTACATTTAATTTAATATTTATTTGATACATAGAATTATATTTATTGTAGTTTTTAGTATTTTTTAGAAATATATATTCCTTTTATATGTTCACTAATTAATAACTCGAAATTTTATTTTCCATCCAACTGCCTACATACATTTCCCGCCAGATACAATATTTTAAACATAAATATAAAAATATATTTTCTAATCTATTTATTAAAACAACAGTGAAAGGTGTGAGAGCCATAAAAATATCTAATAATAGATAAATGGTAACCCTCTTTTATAGGTTTGGTTGTGGTTGAAAAGAATTTTTTCATTCTTTTAGAATGTATATCTTTAAAGTAAAATTTTTTCCTTATGTTTTCCTTTTCATAGAACTGAAAAATTGCACACATTTATATTGATCCAATGATTTTATAATGCAGCTGCACTTTCAACTTTTTATATGTCAAAATAAATCTTTGATACATTATGAAGAGCACGTGCCGTATTGTGTTTATTTTATAAATATCATATAGAGAAAAATGGTTATTTCATAGAAATTTTGAAAAATCAACCCAAAATTGATTTATTGAGTTAAAACAATTGTTACACATTATTTAATTATTACCATTTCTTCAGTAACACCATAACTCAATAGGAGCATACTATTCGTTTCTGTCTGGAAGTTTATCGTCGTGAGTTCCCATTCATTTATCCATGGTTGGCGCGTCAGGCTGGCGCCAACACCCCGGCGTCAAGCCGCCTTCTCCTGTACGACCGCAGTTGCGTGTCGGGACTCGTCCCCGCTGCACAATGAAAATATACAACATTGCAGCCATATTCATATTGATCGAATACGGGAACGCTAAAATACATGGAGGACCACGCGGAAGGTTCGACAAACACACGCAAGTTAAGTCAAATCACCACGTTAGTGCTCACCACGCCCATTACTCATATCATCCGCCTAGAGAGATCTATTTCATGTGTCGACACTGCTCCAATTTCGCAACTTTTCCCGTCTACCATGGATTGCCACCCACATACGTGTATAGATATCGTGAAGCTGGTGGAAGATTCAGCGATTTATTGACGGGGCTGGCCCTGTATAATTTGGGAAGAGCTTCAACAGACCACTGGCAGTACACGCATTATTACAAAGTGCGTCCGGAAGAGAAGTGTTCCATGCAAGTTATCGATCACAAACATTCTGAAGAAGTGCCGGTGCCCTGTTTCCTTCTGTCCTCATTCATGGAGCGATCCCCTGAAAGTCTCATACCCGATCCCGATGCTTTGGACATAACGTCGCCACAAATCGACATACGGCCTTTTATATATCACAATGGAACAACCTTAAAAGTTACATGGGAACAGGAATGCGTTCTGTGGCGCAATGTGACTTTAAACAGGGAAAAAAATGTCGTACCATGCGCTCTCTTGAAAACCTACTCGGAGACAATGAAGCCGTCTGGTATACCGGTGTACGTGTGGTTACCCTCCACTATAGCCATAGTTATAGCTATCTACGTAGCTTGTCAATGTTTTTTCAGAAGGAAAATAAAGAAAGAATCGCAGCCATTCAATCAGGGCGTTGTGATTGGTTATTGTACTAACCAACATTATTAATTCAATCAGGTCATTGAACTTTTACTACCTAGTCGTTTGTATTGAAGCTCTGTTGTTAAATATATGATTTTATCTGAAACAGAGATTCCTACATTCTTTGATACTTCATGTTCCAAATAGTGTTAGATTTTTAATTTTCTTATCTAATGGCTAGTAACAAAATCTGTTATTGGGGTTAGAAACTAACAAAATATCGTAAAAATCATTGCCTAATTTTCCGTGAAAACGAAACCGTAAGTTTTTAACGTCTTTTTTAATGTCATCGCTTCATTTTGTCAATGTAACCGTTGTTAATTACACTGCACTTTATAACTTAATTTTAATTGTCTGTACTTATGTATTAATTAACAAAAAATATGCTATAAATTTCATGGTCTACGTTTCAACCATCTAGTGAAAATTGTTATATGAAATTTATAAAAAACACGAATGCCTTTTATGTATAAGACTATCTACAATTTATTGTGTATGTAATAAAATAACTAATTTAATAATAACAAGTGTATGAACAGTATGAATTATTCTGTAGGTGTATTTAATGAGTGTGCATGTTTTTTTAATAATTAAACCAATTATGGCTATGAAAATTGAGTTTCATTCGTTTTCTACCGATTCTTTTATAGAATTCTATTGTAATATTTAAACGATTTTTGTTAAAAAAATATTGATAGTAAGGAACTGAATTTTACATTCAATTAAAATAGCAATTTACTTATGATAATATCTGATTACTATGAAATCGATAATTTCTTATTGAGGTAGTACCTAACAAACATTGTGTTTTTTTGTCTTAAATATATGTAACGAATTAACATATTCTATACATAATCATCAGTAAATGAACTATAGTTTTTTTTTTAAAACTATTCTTTCGTTCTCACTGGAATCGTGGAATATTTTACCAATATCAACGTTTTATTTGTTGGAGGAATTATAATCTTGAGTACTGTGTGGTGACATAGATTTATTTAAACATGTTTTATAAATGGGTAAGATGTAAATCTTGCGGAGTTTTAAATGTCTAAATTTCCAAGATATACATTATATACATACATATTTGAAATATACTGATATAGTTTCTTTAATTCTTACGCAAATTTTCTTACCACAAGTACAGGCATAAATAATACAAAGATATTTTAGTTTTTTTTAAATATAATTAATCATTTAATAAAAACGGTCCGTATGTAATTTGAAATAGAAAATTATTATTTCAGATACGTATTTGTTGAGAAAGTAACATTTTCATTAGAGTAATAAATCATCTCTAAATAATGACTCTTTCAGAACTGATCTATGTTTAGTGTTTTAGACGAGGATTTAAAAGTTCAATGATTTTATATACCAACCAATAACATTTTAGTGGTTTTATGATGAAATGAAAATCGTTAGTAACTGTATACAAAGCACAGAAAAATATATTTTTTTTATACGCTTTGGTCATACAATCCTAATAATTTATCAGCAATCACATTGCAACTGAGGTTCTATTGCGCTACTGTTATGTAGTTTTTTTGATCAAATATATTCGAGTTTCCATACATTTTTTACCACGTAATGGATTCTTATGACAGACATTCTAATTAAAACATAAAAAAACAGCATCCCGCACATAACAATGATAACAAATCTTGTAAGATAATCAAGTCATAGGACGCCTCTCGTAAGTTATACCCGTCCTTATTCCTAATTAGCGTGATTATCGCAGCTACACGAGATTACCTGGCGATGTGACAAAACTTCTCAGGGTTTTTCATAACACCGAACTACTTAAGACTTTAAAATTTAATACATGAAATCTACGAGTGTCAATTTATTTAATCAGCGGCGTCACTCGTTATATGATATTTTATCCATACAGCGATGTTGACCCGGCGATGTTCATTTAGTTTTTTATTATATAGCGCTTACGTAACAGGTGTACTAACTATTTATTATAGTTTTCCTCGTGGAAGTTTTATACAAACAAATTGAATAAAGTATAGTTTATATCTATATAAGATATATTAATGTCAATTTAGGGGAAAACCCTTAGGTGGTTTAATTCTGACGAGTGTAAAACATAATTAAATTCTAGAAAATTGTTTTTAATTTACTTAAATGAAATGGAATTGTGAAAAAAATATTTTATGATAATATTAGAAGATATACAAAGTTGACAAATACGAGTTATATGCTGACATTTGTAAGAACTGTTCGTACCTATAGAGTCAGATTAAGGATCAATCGACATATGTACATAGTTAATGTAATGTACGAAAAATTGTTTTTAATAATATTCCTTGTAAAGAAAAACTATCTTTACTTATAAACGCATGTTTTAACTGATAAACCTAAAAATATTTTTTATGACTAAAAAAACAAATTGTAATAAAAAAGTGGCAAAATCCATGTCATAAAAATCCACTGTGTGGTAAAAAATGTATCGGAATATGAATTTATTTGATAAAAAAACTGCATAACAAATTGCGCAATAGAACTTCTGCAGCAATGTGATCGCTGACAAATTATTAGGATCGTATGACCAAAGCTTTTGGAAAAAAAGAGGATTTTTCTGTGCTTAGTGTATAGTTACTAGTTAGTAACGATTTTGTTTTTCTTTTTACATTTAATACATACATTAGACTATTTATATTTTTTTAATGCTATCGCTTCATTCGTACTGGAATAGTGGAATGTTTTGCCAATGTCAAATATGCATAGATTACGATTTACTTCAAATAAATAGATGTTTCACATTAATGTCAGTAGAAGTAGATTTTTTTTTGGTTAAATTCTTTCAGAACAGGCAAAGAGAACAAAGTCCATACAGCCATAAATCTCAGTAGACCACGTATTTCTTAGTAATAATAATTAAATTTATAAGTCACTGTTCTTTTATGTTATTTGTTCATGAAAAAGGAATTGAATATTGATACAACTTTTTAATTTAACTACACATTTTAAAATACTTAGGTTGATTGTTTTTATCCTTATACATAATAAGTTAATAAGTTTAATCATTTATTATACTTTCTTATGAGCCGGTAGGTTCAATTGCTATACATATCATAATAATACTAATAAGTGAAGCAAAATTTTTGTTTCCCTCCTTAAGAGAGTAATGGAAGTGAAGTGCACAGCACAATTTTGTATATAAAATGTATTAGGAATACATTAAATTATTTAAAATGAATATTTAACACACTATTATCGCTTTGATATACTTATAGTAGGTAGGACCCACGAAAACTTCTTAACTTGTATTGCAACTAAATGTCAAACTTAATGACGTTTCAGTTTACTATTGAATATGAAATAAACAAAAGTAATTATTTTCCTATTATATATACATTCGTAATACATAATTTTTCAACCATCGACTAAATTTAATAAATGCAAAACATGTTTTTTATATAAAAACAGTTACCAGCTTAAAAAAATAGCACACAAAGATGTAATTAGCATTTCATATTTAATGGAAATAATAATTAGAACAAATGTATTTACGAAGTATAGAAATACATATATACTTGTTTAGAGGAAATAAGTGACAAACTAAGAGTCATGACTATTTAATGTAGTATTTTAAGGCTTACATCCACTCAGTTCTACTAGAAAAGTCCCTCTTATAAGTATTAAGTATCTGAGTATTATACTTATAAGAGGCTACATTATTGTTAAGTATTTAATAGTAGCATAAAATATAATCAATATATCATTACACAATCTTTTAAAAGGTGAATGTACTGAATGATTTGTTTTCTTTTTTAAAGGCGTGCACTCATTTATTTAAAAGATTTTTTTAAAATATTATGTGAATTTTAAGTAATTTTTTAGTTATGGCAACATTATTCATAGTAATTATTGAGATTGCGACCGGAATTATGACATTTGGCGCCGGTTAAAATCGTTAAATTTTAGTGTCCATTTTATGTTTTAGAGAACAATCATAGTATCCAAGGAGGTCATTCGATTATACAGATAACACAGTTTTCTAACCACATGTACTAGAAATGATAGTGTGATAAATAAATATATTTTTTTTAAATATCCTGAATAATCCTTATCTGGGTCGGAAAAAACAATTAACGGGAAAAGGGAGGGGAAACACTGAAAACTAATAGATATATTGGGAAAAAAAAAATAAAGGAATAATTAAAAGTGTATATTAACTAAAGCATTTATTAAATTAAATTGCAACATTTATACATTTTTCGGTACAATACGTATAGATCACGATTGCCTAGTGACACTGCATACGAAGTGTTTCACGATTCTAATCCAATTAATTACCCACTTTTTTTTACTTACTATAATGTGTATTATAAAATTTAAGAATGAAAAATTGTTACGATCTATATGAATAAGCATAGTGTTTAATTTGAAAACTGTTGTTCTATTTCTTCTATTCATAGCTATTCATCGTCTATAATACGTATATTTTAGTCTTTTTGCAAAATGTGGCAGTCATTTTGTTTTTTTAGGTAATAAGTCTCTTTACTTTCTTGCAGTATTATTAACTAACCCAAATGAAGAGTAATGAAGTATCAATTTTATTTCTAATACTTAATTCCTTGTCAAAATAACACACGGTAACGAAAAATTTACATGCCTTAGTTGGCTTATAGTACTCCAAATTACATATACTTATATATGGAAAAAAATCGCACTTACCTCTTCACTGAATGTAATAGAAAAATGTAAAGATAAAATCACGAAGCAAAAGTAATGTGTTTTATCCACATCTTATATCGTTATATTTTTAGGGAATTTCATTATTGTCAAGTACTGATGTGAAAATTTAATATAAGGAATTGAACAAGTATTGACATAAAAATTGTTCGGATACCAGGTTTAAGTTTTTATGAATAATGTAATAAACAAAAATCAGGTTCATAATTCTATTGGCATAAGATAAATTTTTATTTTCAATATGTATATGTATTAAAAGAGAGCGTTGTGCAAGGATCAAGACAAAACCGCTGTACATACATATATGTAAATTTCCTTGGCCTCTTTCTTAAAAGGAATCTGTTTTATTTATTTATTTATTATAAAGCTTTTTTGTGTTTTCTTGCATATATATTAATTTCGTTAATATTGTACAAGCACAGATGAAGTCGGGGTATCAACTAGTATGTAATATTATAAAAAAGTTTTAACAAATTTTTCCCAGTATATTTTGATGTGAGGCATATCACGTCTCCAAGAGATAACAGTTTCCTAAACTGTAAAATAAACAAATATTCAGATATGTTTTTATTTAATAACACTATTTGTGTCTTTTACAAATATATTCCTAGTAATCATAAATATTAGCATGTTTTATTCTCACATTAATTATTTATTTTGCATCTAATAAAAAAGGTGGAAATTGAAATAAAAATGAAATAAATAATAGTTATTTTAAAGATGAACAAACATACATTTTAATACAAAGTATTGGACCATAACTAAAGTCATAACTTTTTCTTAAAATTATAGTTACATTAACCGCCTCTCAAGTAGCGAATATACCTATATGTATATAATATTAGGGTAATATAAAAATCATAATATTTGAATTAACTTTCGATATTTTACAACAGCAAACATGAAACCCAATAACTCTATAAATCTATAATATAAACTGAAAAACTTATACTTAAAAAATTAAACATAATTACTAATATTAATTTTTACTTAATATTAACTCATAATTATTATTTACACGGCTATAAACATAGACAGCCACCATGGCGGATTTGACATCCAAGACTTCAACTTACTTCGAGGAGGCAGTATCGAACTCTCCTTTTTCGGTTCAGGCATTTTCGCATATTCCATTAAGGTTTTACAATTTATTTTATTTCTAAAGTGTTCGTTCTTTGTTACTATGTCTACTTCACACTCCATGTCGGAGACTTTCAACGGAGGTCCTTTAATAGCTAGGGGATCTTCAGTTACAGTGCATTTAGTCGAATTTATTGTTGTCAGTTGGGATATTATATTTTGTGATGTATTCATACTTGGAGTTAAAGAATCGGTATTATTTTTTATACTTTGTAATAAGGTATTATTTAAATTAGAGCTGTTTGAGTTAAAACTACTTAAAACTACGACTGGTTCTGAGAAAGATTTTGTGGGGTTCTTAGCTTCCATTAATTGTGTTGGAGACATAGAATTGTTATAGATTTCGGTAGTGTTAAATGTTATTGTGGAGGTCGCTTGTGTTGTAGGATTAAGAACAATATATGATGGTGTAGTACTAATTGAATCTGAATTAATCGTGTCGTTTGGCAACTTTATAGTCTTGGACGGCAACGAAAAGTTTGATGATGAACTCACATTTACTGGTGAAGAAGTTGTTGTAAGGAGAGAAACGGTATTCGCAGCTGTATCTTTTGACGGAGACAAGTTTAATGGTTTGTTGGTTGTTATTGGTGATGTGCTATTAATCACTGTAACATTTGTAACACATATGGATTGTGTGACCGAATCCTGTGCTAATTTTTGGCTCCCCTCCGTAAATGTGGATACAATTTCACAAGGAATCTTGAGTACCTCAATTTTATCATTTTGTTTAACTCTTAACAGACAACGAGCCTCTTCGTTGGGTTTGTCATACGATGAATGACTGTTTCCATTGGAATGATATCTATGTCTGTAGTAATCGTCGTAATAATAGTGATCGTGCATGTGGTTGTGTGAACGGCCTAAATTATATAAGGCTAGTCCAGACAAGAGATCAGAAAAGCGACTCCCCGAATTCCTATACTCAGTTATGTATACATGTTGCGGTGCTGAATAATATGTAGGCGGGTTATAAATACCGTGATTGCCGTAGCCATAACTATGTGGTTTTTTATTGTAAGTTTCGTGTACATTAGTTGTGTGGTGGGGATGTATTGGTCTTGAGTTTATATTACTTGTGGGGTAATTTTGAGTAGGGTAATATTTATCTGATGTTGGATATTTATGACTTCCCGAACCCGTCCCTGATAGGCCTGTTGAAGACGGGTACTTATTGAATCCCGAATTGGTCCCTGATAGTCCCGTAGACGACGGGTATTTATTGAATCCCGAACTGGTTCCTGATAGTCCTGTTGATGACGGGTATTTATTGTTCCCAGAACTCGATCCTGATAATCCAGTCGATGAAGGATAATTTATTGTTGGTAGCTTAAAACTTCCAGATGATCCAAAATTGGATAAGGATGGATAATTACTTGTTCCTGAACCCGTACCTGATAAACCTGTAGATGGTGGGTATTTATTGCTCCCCGAACTCGTCCCTGATAGTCCCGTAGACGACGGGTATTTATTGAATCCCGAACTGGTTCCTGATAGTCCTGTTGATGGTGGGTATTTATTGATTCCCGAACCCGATCCCGATAGTCCAGTCGATGATGGATAATTTATTGTTGGTAGCTTAAAACTTCCAGATGATCCAAAATTAGATAAGGATGGATAATTGTACGATCCTGAACCCGTACCGGACAGTCCTGTAGATGCTGGGTATTTATTGCTCCCAAAACTGCTTCCTGAAAGTCCTGTTGACGGCGGGTATTTGCTTCCAGAACTTGACCCAGATAATCCATGAGATGCCGGGTAATTAGAAGGCTGATGCTTCTCAAACAAACCAGACGACCAAGACGAACCTGAGTTCCATGTCGTTGAAGGTTTCGAATGTGAGCTACTACCATATCCTGAAAGTCCTGATGATGATGATGGATACTTATGGCTCGAGCTCCAACTCGATGAGGGCTTGTAATGTGTGCTTGAAGATCCCCCTCCCCACCTTGAACTAGACCGTGAGCTACTCCCAGAACGCCCACCCCATTTACATTCTGAAAAATTCGTCAAAGCACACACTAACACCAGGCACAACAATAATTTGTTGCGCATATTTATAGGTGTTCCTTTTCGTGACTACACACAACTGGTTCTTATTAATACCAAACGCTTTATAAAAGGAAATAATATTAATAGAAACTGTTTCACTGTGCTCTGATGATGGTTTACAGATAAAACGGGTAAAAGGTTAATAGTTCAGAGCGTTGAAGTTGTGATAAATATTATTTAAGATGTAAACGTGCATTCACACAGAGACACAAACACACAAACTAACTTAAGTTATCTATTTCACAGTAATTGACGAAAATGATAACAATTAACGTATATTTAATGGATTCTTAAGAAACTACTAGTCATAATTTAAAAACAGCGTCCCTTGTTTGTCACTAAAGATATAGTCGCAACTAGATTTATTTAAGTACATATTTGTGTATCTGTTAGAAAGTAAAAATGTTTATTAAATTGATTATTTTTAAACAATCATTTCTTAAAGAATAAAGTTATTATTAATTAGGCAGAATTATTATTTTACTACTAGGAATTATCAGAAAAAATATTTCTATACACATTGATATTACAAATCCTTGTTATATCAAAAAACTCTAACGATATTGATATTAAATACATTGTTAATAATATGTACAGGAAATATTTAATTAAAATGTTGTATATGTATACGTTTAGAGGAAAATGTAAGTTTTTTCTATAGAAGTGTTATTGATTTGTCCCTATATATTAAATTCCTATTAAACAGAGATGTTCAGTGACGTCAGATAAAAGTAAGGAGGCACACGATTGCTAACAACAAAGAGCAGTAAATTGTTAGCTAGTGATCTATGTTGGTGTAATCACTGTCTGTGAAGGTAAATTACTCACTTCACTGCTTCAGTTTTTGTCGACCAGTAATCTGTCAGTAAGGATTATGTCACTGAATTGGTTGCACTTCAACCATGCTCCTCTTATTTTACATTACCTTAATAATAGCTTTTACGTCTGAGGAAAAAATCGACAAACCATATATTGTGCTACCCGTGCCCGTGGAATTTCCAAATCGTAATGACCGTGCCGACCAATGCTGGTTGAGGATTGAGGATATTGAAATTATAGAAACAATTACTATAGACTGTTATACGGCCCAGGATTACGTTCGCGATTTCATTCAGGAATACAACGCTAGAAAAATTATTGAAGACAAAGCTGACATTATCCCGTGGAGCGATGAAACCAGGGCGATTGAAAGCAATCCATCTTCCATTGGTAACAGGAAACCAAATGCCATGACCGATTGGAAAACTGTGACGGTAATGGATCCCACGACTCATCACAGATTGTATGTGACGAAGAATGCTGACTGCAAACTAATTATGTACAGTCGAGACGGAATGACAAATTATAAAGTGGAATGTAGTAACATTTTGTACTTCATTAATGAAAGGATGAACAGTCTCGCGACAACTTTATGTGTGGCTAAAGTTTTAATGATTGTATTATTGAGTCATTTGTTTTTATTATGAAATAATATAAAATTTTTGGTGATGATTTAATGCAATTAAGAATATGATAAGTTATTAATTGTAAACAGTTTTATATGGTTATTATTCTGGGTATATGTAAACGATGATACACCAGAGTTACTAGGAAAACCACAAGATATAAGTTTAACGAGTATGTATTGAATTGATTATTTATTTGTAATTTATTATCACCACTTTATTTTTTATCGAGTTTATTCATTTAGTACATCTGACGAGGCATTTCTATCACGGAGTCGGCAATCTACTAATTACCTATAATTTTATTATCGCAGTCATGTCTTCGTTTATTTTTGAAGTGATATATGTTTACAAACAACCAGCTTATTAAAACAGTATTGAAAAACTATTATTTTTCACGTCTTTAGTTATTGAAATAAATTTGTCATAAAATTGTTTTATTCTTCTACTCATTTAATATTATGTATTATATTAGTGAAAGAGTCAAAATATTATAATATGTGCATTGTACAAATAATAAGCAAAGAGTTCTATAACTCAATAAGTTTTAATAAAATGTTACATTTTGTAATTATACAAGTGGAGAAGATCTTAAAGGCAAATTACCCAGTGTTGAAGTCATACGTAATTGTAACCCATACTTCATACTTATCAGTTTAGACTTTAGACTTTTAAATTAAATATATTTACATAAAGTTTTGGAGCATCGTGTACAAAGATACTTCTTATACCGATGATATTTAAATTTAAAATTCACATAAATAGATTTAGAGGTGAAGTCTTTCTTTGTACATATGATGAGTCGTTTAATTAAACATTAATTAAGTTGCACATTACATGTTAAAAATAACACTGGTATCGTAATTTCACAAGATTTCCTTCTTACATCACAGTTTCCTCCTTATAACATTTTTGTATCGCTATCGTATTTATGTGATTTTTCCGAGTCATATGTACCTACTTTCTAAGCGTATTTAGATACCACTGACAGACGGTGAAGGAAAACATCGTGAGGAAACCTGGACTTATAATTTCACAATTATAAGTTTGAAATCACCAACCCGTCTTAAGCAAGGGTGGTGATTAATTCTCAAACCTTCTCCATGTCAGATAGAGGCCTTTGCTCAGAAGTGGGCTCTGATAGACTGATGACTATCGTATTTATAATATCGAGACAAAGTCTTAATAATTAGTATAACATTGAAATCTATTGAGTGGCTATTTTTGATAAAGAAACGCACTCCCTCACATATACATAAATTACATTATAATATAGTCGTATTATACTGCAAATTTGCGATTTACATACGTTTGTCTGTTTTTCCAGTTACGTATATAAGGATATATTTTTATATAGATATACGCAACTGATGTTGAATTTAAATTGTTTTCAAATATTTTATTAAGGAGCCATTAATAGCAATTAGTTTCGTAAGTACAAAAACTGAAATATTATGAGTATATGACTAAATAAGTTAGGCGTTATGATTCATATAGTTTGTCAATGTATGGCTATGTTGGTGAACATCGTTGTTCTGGGTAATAAAATTTCAAAACCACAGAAGACTATGTAACAAGGGTAAGACAGCTATAATCCTGCCAAGGTTACAGAAGGTCATTTCAGTATTGTGTTCAAATGTACCTTTATATAAAATTACCTTGGAACTTGCAGGGCCGTTTATGAAATAGCCACACAGTATTATATATACATATATTACAACAAACATTTATTAACACGTTGAAGTACTATTTATGAATAAAAATCTTCATTTTTCATCGCACTTTTTCATATAATTTCCTTATAAGACAACTATTACATCCTTTCCTTTATATAAAACAATAGTACATATATTAATCTTACTTCACATAAAAAAAATTCTCAGCAGAGATGTATTTTGTAGCTGATTATTTTTTATTATGAAAAAGCCGAAAAAAGCTCTATGGTTTATTTGGAAAAGTCGTTGGAAGGTCATATATTAGAGTATTACATAAATCCCAGATTACAGTACACACGACGAAGGGATAAACTTTGTTTAAAACTCTCATGACGTAATAGTTGGAGTATGTGCCTATGTAAGGAACCCTTTATTAAAAGATTCATTTAGTTGGGCTATTTAGAAGTTAAAATAAACTCTAGGTCATAGAGAAAATTACTATGTAGGGTATAAGTGTAATAATAGAACATACAACATACATACTTATAAAACAAGTATAATGTGTATAATACAAGATTTAATTTCATATAATTTGTAACAAAATCACGATGATTTGTGTGTCCTGTGATTTTACTACTACAGTTGTAGTTATACATTCATATTATAGGATAAACAGATAGTACAGAGTAAAACGTCAACATATAATTTATTTTATATAAAAGAATTTAATCTTGTTCAGAAGTAATATCATTTTTCTCATAAAAATCTATAATAATAATAATATTTTCTCAAGAATTAAAATTATGACACGAGATACGAACACATGAACTATCATGAATGTCATGATACAATATCTTTAAAAGCGATGAGGTGATTTCGATAAGAAGGGTTTCCGAATCATCCACTTCATACGGAGAATTCCAATCCTTTTCTCGTGTTTACACAGGTCCTATTTCTATTGGGAATTTTACAATTTATTTACAAACATACATCTACTATAGTAGACCACTCGGGGAAACTATGTGATATTAAAATCAGGTTATAATTATTATATATATTTTTCTCTTGTGAGATATAATTTTGGTAAAGTATATGGATAATATTGAAATTTATTGAAGAAATAAAGATTAACCTCCAGACCTCGTATTGTAATTCGAAAAATATTAGTTGTGTTAGAAGAATGTCTTAGATATTATTTCTTAAGAAATATGAGTTTATTATTTCATAACACATATTAAAAATATTCAAGTTGGGTGGTTTCCCAATGCGGAAAGACAATAAGGTTCTAATAGCTGTAGAATAACCGTCACCCTTTGAACAATTCAGACGCCATTACTGTAATTACTTGTGAATTCTGTTTCAAATTGCCCTTTCTATCACTACGTATTGTTAGTATAACTTTATATTCGACTGCTTTTCGTATTGGATAAGTGTTTTAAAGAGTTTAACTCTGTTTAAATGTTATGTATACATGTAAAATATGAATGTGATTTTTACCTTTAAAAGTAAACCTTAAATAAAATTCAAAGGCAACATTTAACTTGTCGATTATACTCAAGCCTCCGTTATAAATATGGAGTATATGAGTATTAGGTACCACATGTATATCTCGAGGTATTTATTTAAAAAGATACACAATTAAATTAAATAAATAATAACATTTGACATTAATCATGAACATTTACAATACTGTATTTAGACGGATTTAGCTGCTTAAGTAAAAAGGAATTAAAAAAAGTTAAATGTACTGCGTTATGACAAAATTAATCAAGTAATTGTGAAATACGTAGCCGCTATTCGGAAAGTCTTTTGTTTATTAAAATTAATATAAAGAGAATAACAGAAATCTGTTATTTATTAAAAAAGTTAAGAAAGAAGCTAACAATATTATACATATAATAACGCAGTTTCAAATCTCAGCGAAACCTCTTTTGTGATTTGACAGTTTAAAATTACACCTCTTATTCATCTTGGGGCGCTTACGTCAATGTCAATGTGACTCCTGACATTTTTGATTGTGATTGATGGAGCTCGGAGACTATTTTAATTAATATTTGGATATGGTATTAAATGTTTTAGACTCACTAACAAATCTTCATTTAATACTGGTTAAATTTATTCCACGTGGAAGCCAATTTTCATTTTTGTTTCCTAAATTCCACGCGACATTGCTAAACTCTACGCGTTTATCTATGAAGGCCACAATTAAATAAATGATTCTATCAAATTGACAAGCATAATTTTTAAATTTAATAACTGAATCATTGCAGAATTTATTTTTTTAAATATTGTAAACTTATAAATTCCTTCTTAATTTTTTATTTTAAAATATCTCATAATTCGCAATCCATTCATATGTAGCACTTGTTACTAAACTATAAATAAAAATAGAGCGCTGCTATGAAACTTTTGTCGTGAATGAATATTCGTAGGAATGATATTTAAATAGTATGGTGATAATATTGAAGGGTTGAAGTTAGTTGTATACAGTATATACTTAGTCTATACTTAATCAATAACCTCAATCACAAAATATTAAAATTTTGCCACAATTAACAAACAAATTATGACAAATAAAAATAGAATTTACACCCTAACATAGTTTTTTGCTTTTATTCATTCAACTTTCCAACAAAATGCTATAGTTATTCATATTTATGAATAAATATGTTGTTAGGTTCATTTAATTATTTTCTTTTATTTTAGGACCAATTAAAAGAAATTACACAGCTTATATTTCATGTAATACAATAATGCCATCAAGAGGCGTGACTTGCTTTAAGGAAACAAGTCTTCCAAATTTAGGATAATATATCTAAACGTACGAAAAAGGTTTATTTATAAAGATTTAAGGTAAAAAAACCTTATAACTGTCAACGGCGAGGATGACAGCAAACTAGTGATGCGCAAGTTTTGTTCCGTTATTAGTTTTCTGAAGGACAACTCTTTTATGTGAAAACTTGTTTCGTTGAGCTTCATTCAATATAATTTTATTGAACAAGTTGTTGTTTCGTAGAAGATATTACTTAATTGATGTTAAATAGCATTTATTACAAAAAATATCTGAAGTAAAATGAAAGTGGTTGGTTTTAAAATGTAAACTTTTATTATTATATATCTTTAAACAAAATCACATAAAATTTAGATAAAGGATTCTTGGATTCTAATTTGTATTTTTCATACTTTTTCAGGCCTTACTAAGTTTAAATAAAATGTAATGGGAATAAAATATAATTCTTTAAATAACATATACCTATGGGTACTCATTATGAAAAACCTTGTTATCAGTACATAGTAATTTATTATATTGCATATATTACGTATTCGGTTTACATTACAAAAAGAAAATATGTAGGTGTCTCCAAA